ATTACTTTGGGTTTGAGAAGGGCTTGTATGCGCTCTTGCAGCTGATACATCAGATTTATTAGCTCCGTTTCTTGGCCTCCTTCCTTTTCATCAAATGGCAGTCACTTAATCTGCACCGACTCCTCCCGACTGAAAAGAAGGAATCTCAGCTTATTTATAGCGTCCAGTATTTGTCCTGCTTTTCTTTCGTTTATTCATTTATAAAAATTTTGTTGCCCAACTTCCAGGTGCCAGGCATGTAAGAATTCAGTAACACACTGGGTCTCTGACAGGACGCCCCCACTGGAGATAGCAGTTTGGCTGAGAGAGAGTGGTGGGAAAGCAAACAAGTACACAGGAACTACGGCAGGAGAATGCTTACTTACAGAGGCTTACTTACTAAAAAGAGTATTTCCCATCTCCTTCAATGCCTACACTGGCTGGTGGGGGCAACTCCAGTGCCTGAGGTCTGAGCCTCCTGTTGAGGAGGGTGGAGAAGTGTTTGTAAACAGGTGTCAAAAAAGCAGGGTGGGGATACATCATTGCCATGGGGTGTGGAGGGTTGCGGGTGAAAAGTGTTTGGGTGGAAAACGTGTTGAAGGCGTAGAGGATTAGGGTGGGGAGGGTGGAGGCTGGAAGTCAGTGAGGAGGAGCGAGGATGATGGGGCAGGCCGCGTGGAAGGGCAGTCTGAAGGCAGGCAGAGCCCTGGCGTTGGGGACTTCGGGGCAGGGTGGGGGCGGGGGGAATGGCGGCCTAGATGGTTGCAGTAGGGGTGCCACATCTTTCTCTCCACAGGAACGGAGCTTTGACTGTAAGATCTGTGGCAAGAGCTTCAAGAGGTCGTCTACGCTGTCCACACACCTGCTCATCCACTCAGACACCCGGCCCTACCCCTGTCAGTACTGTGGCAAGAGGTTCCACCAGAAGTCGGACATGAAGAAACACACCTTCATCCACACGGGTGAGCTGAAGGCCCTTGGCTTGGAAGAAGCCCCTGGTGAAGGATGGGTGGTGGGGGCCGTTGTTCGTCTCCTGAGGCCAGCGTGATTCACCTCCTTTGTGATACTCTGTTTCTGGAATGAGTGGAGGATGTGGGCCTTCCAGATGGAGTTAATCACTGCAGCACATTACAGAAAACAAGGAGGTAGATTCTCTTAGGTTCACTTACATACCTGGTTCTCCCCAGAGGGGCCTTGATTTGGGGGTGTAGCTGAAGAGCCACTGAGCAGCTCAGCTGCAGGTTCTCTATCCTTGCAAAGAATATTTTCCACTAGTTTAGCAGCTGCTCCTGCTGCTGCCTGCTCTAGGTGAAATATGAAGCTCTCTGGTCCTTTCAGAGCGTTGCTGTAAATGTTCACCTAGAGACTGAGGCTTTCTCTAGGCTACCACCCAGCTTTTGGGGGGAGGGACTTACATGTGGCCTGCTGGCTGCATTTTTAGGAGTCTAATGGCTTATTCTGATTGGGGAGGAAATTACTGGGCTTTCTGCTAAGCACTTTTTAAATGCATGATCTCATTTTATGCTCACAGCAACCCAGGGAGATAGAGACTATTCCTTACCCCCATTTTATCGATGAGGAAAATGAGGCACAGAAGGGTTAGGTAACTTGCCCCAGGGCCGTACTGCTAGCAAGTAGCAGGGCCAGGACTCAAATTCAGGTCTGTCTGCTCTCAGACGGCTATGCTCTTGACCATTGTTTATTGCCTTCTACTGTCAGAGTCAAGGGGATTGATAAGTATAGAGAGCTTCTATTCACTTAATATCAACCTTTCTCAAAACATCAGCAAGTTCTGCATAATAGTCATGATTCTTTACCTATTATAATGCTTTATCATTTACAAAGTGCTTTCAGATCTATCACTTTATTTGATTCTCACTGCCGTCCCATAAAGTACAAGGAGCTGCTCTTACTATTCTGAAACTCAGAAAAATGGAATGATTTACCAAAGGTCGGACTGAGACTAAGTCATGGGGCTGTGGAATGCTCTGGCTTCCACTCTTTCCCTAACATTCTGATTGTGTGTGGTGTGGTTTGAAGGCCTGGAGCACTCTCTTTAATAGTCAACAAAGCATTTATAAGAGATATATGAGACCTGTAATTTTATTTTGCTTCAGAATATGAATACTGACTTAAAATAAATAGCAGTGTGTCCCAAACAACCAGCACTGATGTTTGTAAATATGCTTGGGCATTTAGAAGCCCTCATCAGAAAACCTAGAAAGATATCCTACTTTAATCATGCCCCCTTGCCTGAAATTTCCGTGTAACTCACTCCTTTTAAGTAAAGATATTCAAGGCACTCACCAAAATGCAACTAAGATCTTGACTGAATGAAACATTAAACCCTTATCAAACATTTACATTAGAGTTAGAATTTGTTTCCCAGATTTGTTGAACCCTAAGGGGATAGGATATGTTTTGATGGGTGGTTCCGTATCAAGGGAATCTGAAGCATGAAGATAGAAAGGGGCACAGCAAAACAGACTTCATCTATTCTGCATTTTTTTCTAATGCCAAGCTCTGACCATAGTTCCATGGTGAGGCTATTTGGAAAATCGTCCTATTTCCCAAATGTTAAACAGCACATATATTGGAAAAATACAACCTAGTTTCTATCTGTTATTTATTAATCAATGGTAAAGAGTTGCTGGTATGTAAAGAATCCTGTGATTAACCTCGTGGAAAGAAAGTAAAATCAAGATTGAAAAGTGTCAGCTACCTTAAAAAGTGCCTTGGGACCAGATGTAGATTTTAAAATAGGACTTTGAGAACTGCCCATACTTCTGATACATTCTGTTGTCCTCCACGAGCAAGAAGGAAGGCAGGCTCACTGGTCCATACAAACCAACACCCACTTGGAAACTCAGATTTGAAAACTTCCTCTCAAATAGAACAGTCACATGGTTTGAAAGTCAGCAACCCCCGCCCCCCCGCCCCCCCTCCTTGTGCTGAACACCTGCCGTGGGAGCTCTCTGCTTCTAAAGTCAGGGGAGTCCTCCCGGGCTAGATTCAGCTGCGAGTCTGGGGAGGGCACGTGGCCTCTGCTCTGTTTCCGTTTAGCAGGAAACGGTTTGAGGCCTCTGGCTGGGAACCCCGGCTCAGAAAGTCTCCCTTTCCCCCCGGCATGTCTGTGGCTTCCCGGGACTCGCGTTGCCGCCCACGTCACCCTCCAAGCTGCTTGAGGGCCATAGACTGAGGTGCAGCCAGCTGCTGCCAAGAACATGTGGGTCACAGTGAGTCCCCCCGAGCTCATCACAGACTCACGCTTCCTCCCCTCCCCCGTTCCATCCCGGTAGGTGAGAAGCCCCACAAGTGCCAGGTGTGCGGCAAGGCGTTCAGCCAGAGCTCCAACCTCATCACCCACAGCCGCAAGCACACAGGCTTCAAGCCCTTTGGCTGCGACCTGTGTGGGAAGGGCTTCCAGAGGAAGGTGGACCTCAGGCGGCACCGGGAGACACAGCACGGGCTCAAATGAGCACCTGGCCACACGCACAGCTACACAACACTACGGAGGGCAGCCCCCACTTGCCACCAGCAGCTTCCGCAGATCCCACCAGCGAGATCCCCCTTCACCCTCCTCCCTGGAGCCGCCAGAGGGGATGTTACCCTTTCAAAGCTCAGCCTGGAGTGGGAACCAAATGACTCACTGCACTTTGGACACACCAAATAGGCCTCTCCACTCCTGCAGTCTCAAAGTCGAGAGGAGATCAGATAAAACTTTGGGCCTTACAGCCCTTCCCACTCCCAGCCCTGTTCCACAGGCAGATAGGGCGGTCCTTAAGCTTGCTTCCCTCCTTCTCTGACCTGCTCTACACATGTGCATGGAAGAGGAGGGACGACCATTTGCAAGGCAGACATGTGCTAATGTTTCGTCTGGAATGAAGAACAAGTGTTTTGCTTTTACTCTCCTGGGAAGCCTGTCGACCCCTTCCTGTTGGGTGCTGCCTACGAAGCTCGGAGGAATCCTTTCTCCCGTTTGAAGACTGGTTCAGAAACTGACTTGGGGAAGGAGTGTCCTACTTTTGAAATTACAAGATCCACTGTCGTGCCTGCCCTAAGAAGGAGCAGAAGCACAGTGGACTTGGTGGTGAGAGGAGACTAGGGGTCCTCCCTGCAGGAGGCCTGGAGAGGCTTCCTCAGAGGCGGTGGAAGCAGAGTGATGCCTTTGGACATGATGCATCCATTTACTTAGCAAATGCTCCCGACCCCCAGTTACCGTGGTACTGTTCTGGGTACTGGGGAGCCAGAGGGTAAAGTCTTGGCCTTGGCCTCTGCCCTTCGAAAAGCTAACCGTCGCACCTGCAGGTAGCTGGGTCTGTTCTCTCTCTCCAGAGGAATTCTAAGAAGACAAAATAGAATCTTGAATTTCCCCTTCTCACCGTTTGGACTTTATCAAGCGTAATTGAAAAATAGCTGAACAGATAGTTCAAAGGTTCTCGTGTGTATATTCAGTTTTTTTATTGTTAAACTGGTATTTTTAAGATGTCTAAGCTAACAGGCATGTGAGAGTGAAGGCTCTGTCTTCAATCTTTGAACCCTCCATATGTAAGAGACAAAAAGTGGTGTTTTTACTTTGTTGAAGTTTCTAAATGTTTTTAAGCCTTCTGGAGTGCATTATGTTTGTTAATACATATTTATTAGAGTGATGTTTTAAGTTAATAAAGTATTAAGACTCTTCCATGTTGCTTTTCATTTAGGCAGGGACTTTGGGAAAGACCTTTGTGTTCGTCTGCAGGGGGAGGTGGCACCGGAGGAGACTGGGGCGGAGTGTACGAGTAAAGAAGACACGCAGCGTCCAGAGGAGAGTGAACTCCGGTGCTCTGGTCTTCACGGGCCTTTTCGTTTCCTTCTGTGCCTTCTTCTCAGCAGGGAAGCGAGGGGTACAAACCTGAGCGCCTGCCACGCAGAATCCCTGTTCTCCCCCGTGCATAGGCTCTTTATTCTGAGAGCTTCCGTTGTTTTGTTTTGTTTTGCTTTGTTTTGTTTTTAAACAGGCTAGAAGGCTCCCAGATGAATAAAGACATCGCAAGCCTTAAGTCTAGAGACTGAGTCTTAGTCACGGTGCCATCACCAGCACACCCTGTGACTCTGGCAAACCCACTGACCTTCCCGATACTGGTTCCCTTGATAAAGTGAAGACAGGGTCCTGCCATCCCAGTTCAGCCTTGACCACTCTGATTCCGTGGAGACTGGAGGGGGGAGGCAGTACCTGCGACTGACGAGCTGCCTCACTTGAGGCGAGTTTAAGTCTGAAGACTGACGAGGGTCAGTAAATCGGGGTCTGGGTTATTTCTGGCTCTCTCCCACCTGTGCGAGTTTCTTGCGTAAATCAGTCCTCTCATAGAATGAAACCAGAATAAGGGCCCGCCTGGCCTGAGTCCCAGCTGCCTGTGCGCTAGCTCTCCCTGCCAGGGCACGCGTGGCGTTGGCGACCATCAGCAGACTGTCCGTTTCTATTCAAGCCGATTTCTTCCATATGACTGAGCACCTAGGGTGTGCCTGGCACTGTTCTAGGCGCTGAGCATGCAGCAGCCAACACAGTGGCCTGTAGAGCTTAATGTACATGGTCACTTCAGCTCCTGGGACAGTGCCTGGAGCCCAGGAGGAAACTGAGCAATACTTGCTGAGGTGCTAAGTGAGCAAGCAGAGAAAATAAAAACTCCTGCTTCATCCTGGCTGGCTCTGCTCTCTACAGCACAGAGGGAAGAGAAATTGCTTGAGAACCAAGGAAGCAAACAGAACACAAGGCCACTCCCCGGGTTGGTGGGTAAGGGGGGCCTTGACGCCACTTCTCCCCGGTCTCTCAGTCTCGGGGCTTGGCCGTCCTCGCTTGGTTTTCAACACCATGTCTTTCCATGTCAGTTTACTCGCATTCAAAGCTGGAATTTGTTCACTCTATAATGCGATTTAAGAGAATCTCCCAGAACTGTTAGGTGAGCAGTTGCAGCATCCAGGTACCTCTCCCTGGTGTCCTGGGAAACAAAGCTCCCGGCGAAGAAAGATCACAGACGACCTTCTCACAGCATTCACCATAAGTACTGGTTGATTATTTCCAACCTGCCTTGAAGAGTAAAGAAGTCACATTGTGGGGTAAGTAGAATTGATTGAAATCTAGTTACCTGCCCAGTCTTGCTCTCTGATTATGACAATTAGAACTTTGGTCCATTTTCATAATCCCTTGTTATGCTATAAATGTACAATTTTAATTTTGATTTTAATACTATGCTCTTTTTGGGGAAAAAATGTATCTTGATATCCTCAGTTCAGAATCAAAACAAATTACTGTGTCTGTTACTGTGTGAAATTTGAAGATTGCAAATATCTCTCTTAATGTTATTACTTGACTCCATTAAAAATAGATTGTGAATATTCCATGTCACATTATTCATGAGGCAGGCCCTGGGCCTTTTGTCCGCCAGAGTAACAGAAGAAAGGGTAACAGGAGACACCAGAGCACACCTTTGTTTCTTTCACTAAATTTTTAATAACACCTCCAGCGGGCCAGTTGGTGAAGCTCAGCTCCTGCATAAAAGTGGAAAAGCACAGCTATCTCAGAGCAGACCAGCTCTTTCAGCAGCTAATTTGAGTTTGCGTTCATCTACACCAGAGATGATTAAATTACCTATCTAGTGTGCCAAGCTATCAGGATTCAGGCCACGTAAAAGGTGAATTTCATCTCATTGATTTGAGACACGAATGGAACAATTGAGTTTTAAAAGCCCCGCCTTAATTAAAGGCATAGCAAAGTATCACCCTAGGTGAGTTCTTGATGGCCATTGCCCTTGGAAATTGGGTGTCAATAGTGATTTGACCCACATCCTTTTGTCTTGTGCTTGTTTGTTTAATCTAATCACTTAACAGAAAGAATGAATTCAGAAGGAGGCCGAAAAGAACTCCGTCACTTTTTACTGTGCATTTCTGAAGCACTATTTTGTTTAAATCTCTGCAGCTATATTATCTCTACAGTAAAAAATGTTTCAGGAGTATGTAATACATTTATTTATTAACATTTATTCAACTTCTTAAAAAATTGAGGTATGGTCCGTTACAGTGTGTGAATTTCTGGTGTGCAGCATAATGTCCCAGTCATGCATATATATACATATATTCGTTTTCATATTCTTTTTCATTAAAGGTTATTACAAGATATTTACTATAGTTCCCTGTGCTATACAGAAGAAATTTGGTTTTTATCTATTTTTATATATAGTGGTTAACATCTGTAAATCTCAAACTCCCAAATTTATCCCTTCCCATCCTCTTTCCCCTGGTAACCATAAGATTGTTTACATGTCTGCAAGTCTGTTTCTGTTTTGTAGATGAGTTCATTTGTGTTCTCTCTCTCTCTTTTTTTAAGATTCCAGATGTGAGTGATATTATATGGTATTTTTCTTTCTCTTTCTGGCTTACTTCACTTAGAATGACGATCTCCAGGTCCATCCATCCATTGCTGCAAATGGCATTATTTTATTTTTTTATTGCTGAATAGTATTCCATTGCATAAATATACC